GTTATTTCAAATTTTCTGAATTTTTAAAGATTTGTTTTGTGTCCCAGAATGTAGTCTGTAGAAACTTCCATGGCCTGATGAACAGAATATATATTCATTGGTGTTTGGGTGGAACATTCTGTAGATATCTGCTAAGTCCATTTGATGTATATCATTTAATTCTAATGTTTCTCAGTTTATTTTTTGTTCAGAGAAGGTGTGATATTAAAATCACCTACTGTTAATGGTTTGATGTTAATCTGTGCTTGAATTCCAGTAGTAAGTTTTTCTTTTTAATGTGTTCACCAGAGTTTGGTTCATACATATTTAGATTACAGTGTCTTCTTTATTAATTGTTCCCTTTAGGAGAATGAAGCGTCCTTGTTTATCTGCTTTGATGTGTTTTAGTTTGAAGTCTATTCTGTCAGATATTAGGAGAGCAGCACCTGTTTGTTTCCTGGTCCCATTTTATTGGAATGCTTTTCTCCATCTGTTTACTTTAAGGCAAGGACTATCTTTAGGGCTGAGTTTCTTGGAGACAACAGAAGGATGATTTTCTTCTTCTAATCTATTCAAACTGCCATTGTCTTTTGATTCTTTTGATTAAAGAGTTAGGGCCATTAATATTTGAAGTTATTATTGAAAGATTTGTGTTAATTGTAGTCATTTTGTTTGTTTTTTGTTGTTTTTAGTCATATTTTGTATTTTAGTAATTAGAGGAGTTTCTACAGTCTCTTGGTTATGCTTGCTTCTTTCTTCAATCCAAAGTATTTCTTCCTATGTTTTATTTAGAGTTGATGCGGTGGACATGAATTGCCTTAGCCCATTGGGATCATGGAAAGCTCTTCATTTTCCTTCAACTCTGGGACATAGTTATTTTCTGGGAACAGTAATCTTGGTTGGCAGTTATGGTTTTTAGAATTTGGAATACATTGGTTCAAGTTCTTCTGGATTTCAAAATTTCTATTGAGGAGTTAGCTGTTTTTTATTGAGGAGTTCTAGTGTTTTCCTTATGTGTCACTTGGGATTTTTCTTTTGCAACTTTGAAGAATATTTCTTTTTCTTATGTAAATGATATAATTATTATTTACCATAGGGTCTTTTCTGTTCTCATCTAGTTATTGGAGTTCTGTTTGCTGGTCTTATCAAGTTGGGGGTCTGTGTGTAGGTTTTGTCTAGTTGGGGTTCTGTGTGATTCTCATATTTCTATAAATATGCTTTTCCTTAGTTTATGGAAGCTTTCCTCTATGATCTTGCTGAAGATCTGGTCTTTGCCATTGACCTGTGATTTTTCTCTCTCATCTATGTCTATAGTTTGAAGATTTTGTCTCCTGATGGTATTCCACATTTCCAACATGTTTCTCTTCTGTACCTTAAAAAGTAAAAATCTCTGCTTTCTTGTTCTAGTTCCTCTACTTATCTTTAAGTCCTAATATTCTATCTTCAACTTGATCCATTCTATTTACAGAATCTCTTGATTTTTCTAGTTGAGTTATTTAGTTTTCAAACAACTTTATTTTAGCTTGAGTTCTCATCAATGTTTCTATCTCTTCATTGAATTCAGTTATTTCATTCAGCCTTATGCTTTCATTTTCTTTCATATTTCTCAGGTAATTATTCACTTTGAATTCATTCTTTTTAGTTTTACTGAGCTGTTTGTGCCTTTCTTAAATTCACTGAATTCTTTGAATTCTTTCAGTGTCTGTATCCTTGGGTTCATCTATGTAATTCTCATTGGAGAACATTTCTAGTAGGACTGGTAGATTTCAGGGAAGGGTACACAGTGTCTTGATCCTTTGTAATATTTTTATATGAGATCTGGTCATGTGATCTTTTATTATTGGCTGTGTATCCAATGTGGACCTAGTAGGCTGGGCTGGTGCCACCTGAACTGAAACTGGAGGTTAGGAAAGGTGTAGATTGGGCTCATCAGGGTAGGTCACATTCTGTTTGAGAGTTCAGGTGTAGGCCTGATAATTGAGTAATGTAGAGTCAGGGTAGGATCAGGCAGACTTGCCAAGCTTGGCCAGTGCACAGGATGTGTGGGTCTCTCTGAGCCTTGAGGATGGAGATGGCACAAACTGCTCCATGGTGATCAGAGTTGGGAGGAGTTGTGAAGGGGAAGACAGATAGGTTACATGTGTCTTCATGCTTGGTGGCCTGACCTGGTGGGTATGGGGTCTGATGAGTTACAAGAGGAGGGAGAGAGTCCAGAGAAGGTCAAGATTCCTGGCAAGCAGCTATGGACAGAATGGAGTTGGGTGGAGTACTTCATTTGTAGACCTGGTTATCAACAGTAGAATTATGTCCATTTTATTTAAAGGACTGCCAGTTGATATTTTTAAAGCTATAAACATCATTTCCTTGCCCATTTTCCTGCAGCTTACTTTGCCAACCATTGAGCATGAACCTAACTGCAGACTTTGCTGATTTGGCTAAAATGTTTACTCCATTCAGTACATGTTAATTTTTATTTCTGACAGAATAAGTATATGGACATAACTCTCCATGACATCAGACTCTTGGAACAAGGATCCATTATAAACTTAATTCCTCATTATGTTTATGTGATATATATATATCACCTAATATTTATGAAACTACATTAATTAAATGAGATATTTGCTTTTTTAATTTTATGCACTTCCATTTTTATAAACATGGAATTCTAATAATGTATCCATCCATCTATCTATCTATCTATCTATCTATCTATCTATCTATCTATAATTTATCTATCTGTGTATCTAATATCTCTCTTTCTCTCTCTCTCTCTCTCTCTCTCTCTCTCTCTCTCTCTCTCTCTCTGTGTGTGTGTGTGGGTGTGTGAGTGTGTGTGTGAGTAATGTAGTCATTTAATGTTAATTATTACAAGCACACTTGTCCACTGCCTGAATAGAATTGTTTGGGGTATTATTTAGATTAAGGTAGAAATTTCCTTGAAAGCAAGAGTACATAATCTTAAAACAAATTTTCTTCATTTTCACTACTAACATATACTTATTCAATTATTGCATAAGAGGAAATCTGTTCAAATTTTAATTACTATTTTGTTTTCTAAATTGATATCAAACAAATATTGATTTGAAATAATCATAAAGACAACTGAGTCACCATTTGGTTTCTGGTGTGTGACTCTTTCATTAGTAGTTAAGTCATGAAGTTGGAAGATGAAATAGCACAAACTTTCTTTGAAATAAATTATATTGTTCTTTAATTTTCCCTCTTTCAATAATAAAAAGCTTTTAAAATGTCATTTTAAAAGCTGTGAGCAAATTTCAGAGACAACATAAAAATGCTGTGTAAAGTTTTGTATTTTGAGGTATTTTACTTTGCTTCAAATGCAGGACTAAAGTTTTACATTTATATTTAACTTTTAAAAATTATAAAATTTTAATATTTTTAATGCATTGCGAATATATAAAATAAACACTGTATCTGTCTTCAGTTACTCACGGAAACCTTGGGAAATAAGTTCATAAATTCTCCAAATGTTTATGAAACGCATATTATGTATTAATTACTGTGTCTCATTCTTGGTACACATCAATGAGTTGTACAGATTGCCTTGGTGAGGATTTATTCAAGGGGTGGAATATAAATGCATGGAATGAATAAGCAATGACAGAGAATCTCACAAAGTGTAAGTGAAACACTAAATCAACCTAACCAAGATAAATGAGGACCATTGGGTTTAGTGTTACAATATTTAAATGAGTGAGTTAGTGAAGACTCCTTTAGAGGTGGTGATTGAAAAATACTGAAAGATATAGCAGTTAGCTATGTTGATGTCCAGGCAAGAAAATATCAGAAAAAGGGTACAACAGGTGTAAGGACCTAAATGAGGTCTAAATTGAACCCCGCCCGTCACAGGAAGTAGTTGTTATGACTAGGATGAGGTGAAAGAGAAGAATTTCTGGAAATGAGTGAGGTGAGGGGACCCACTCATGCCAACCCTCTAACCATTGTGTGGATATTTAACTTTTGGTGGTATTAGAACCCTCACTGGCTTCTTTCAGGCTTTGATAAAAGCCCACTTAGCACTTTACTGTAGGCATACAAGGGGAGAAATGGAGACTGTCACTCAGGATACTGCAGCAGTCCTGGCTAGTGACGATCTGTGGTCCAGGAGCAAGGATGGAAAGAGTGAGCAAGAGGGTTTGAAATCTATTTGAAAGTCATGTGGGTGATTTCCTGACAGATTGGACATGAAAATGAAAGGAAAAAGGAATGGGTTTCCTGAGCTTTTGGTTTGATTTTTTGCCTGTAAATTTTCATTAGCCAGGAATAAAGATGCCTGAAAGAGCACATGCTTTTTTTTTGTACACTCATAATTTATTTCACAGCAAGGGAGACCTAAGAGTGTGGATGAACCTCCCTCTTTTGATGCCCAGTATCACTTTACAATGGCAGACACAGAAGCACAGCTTCTTAATGACATGTTGAACATTTCAGAGCTCATGCCTGATGGGTTGGCATTAACAGATGTTCAAAAAGAGCAAATCTATCATAAATAAGTTATCCCCAATAGTAATTCCTTTGAGCACATGCTTTTAAGTGATGCTGAGAAACTCAAAATAGAGGATCTTATACTGATGATACTTATTCAAATAAAATCTCCAAGGACACCAGCATCTGCTCTGAAAGCACCTCTTTAGAAAACAGTGTATGAATATGCACCACATATTTATGGGAAGTACCACTAATGTAACTAAATTAATGAACGATCACACAGTAAATAGTATTCAGTGAATGACAGCACTAGCCTAGGTGTGACATATGGTGGCAACAGAATTATTTTTGGAAGCTTATAAAGCAAATAATAATCTACATTCTACAAAACTAACTTGACTGAATGACACATTCAAAATTCTCAGTTAAGAGTCAAACTCATGCTTAAAATATATAATCTCCTCCAGAAACCTTATCCATAATCTCATAACAGAAATTGTGTATTTTATACCTAATAGGCAATCATTTGTTTAAAACATACTTTCTTTTTTTTTTTTTTAAATCTGCAGATTATAATACCAGTGAACAAAAACAAGCCTGCAAGAAGCATGAACTCTATGTGAGTTTCCGCGATCTGGGATGGCAGGTAAGATTGCCGAATTTAAGTGTTTCTTTTCTGTTTTATCTCAAATCCTTAGCAAGTCATAGTCTTTGTTAGCAATTGTTCCAATATAATAACCATTTTTGAAGACTATTCAGCCTGTGGTTCACACACATCATTTTCATTTCCTTACTATTATTTCCTTATTGGAATATAATGAGTTAGTTTCGTTTAACAACCATCTAGGGAAATACAACATTCTTAAAGTCAACATTTAAGAAAGGATAAAAACAGTACTGTCCTTTAAATATCCCGTTTGTTTTGCATGAGTCAGAGTCTCATTATGCAGCCCAAGATGTCTTTGAGCTCCCCTTCTGCTTCAGCATCCCATGAACTGGGATTATAGGCACGTATTACCATGCTCTGCCATATATAATAAGCATCTATTAATTTATTCTTGTGTACACATGCATGCACATGTCTGTGAGCATGTGTGCAGGCCAGAAGAGACAGACTATCCTGTGTCCTGCCCTATTACTTCACACCTTACTCTTTGAAATAGTTATCTCTCACTGAATCTGGGGCTCATTGTATTTGGGGATATGCTGGTGGCCAGTAAAGGCCAGTGCTTGTAAGGTCTCTCCTACTCCAATGTAGAAAATCCTGTGATTATAAGCAAGCATGACAGACATGCCCTCTATCTCCCAGATTTTTACCAGGGTGCTGATTATCCAAACTCATGTCCTCAGGCTTGCCCAGACAGCACTTACCCACTGAGTCAACTCCACAGCACCTCCAGATGTTTTAATTTTATGAAGATAAAAGATTTGTTTGGATTAGTATAAACACTTAAATTAGCTCCATTAGGATCACACTGCAGTGTAGAAAGTAAAAATTCCCACTATAAAGTTGAAATGATAAGGCAGGTTTGCCCAAAATATTTTTTTCACATAAAACTCAAATTATTATTGCTTTTTGATAAGTTTCACACATGAGATAGGAATGAAAATTAGAAAAAATAATTTTTGATGGCTCTAAGAACAATTTAATATGAAGCTTTCAGATTTCTTTTGGTATTCTATTATAAGAAATTCTTAGTATGTGAGCTACTTTCATAGTATTTTGATCACAAAATTGAAGTAATGATATAAACTAATACTAAGATGGAAATGTATAATCGTATTTATTGATTTTAGTTTTTGAATTTTTAACATTTTATTAGTTATTTGAAAATTTCATCTAACATATTTTGATCATATTCACTCTCCTTCATCAACTCTTCCCAGATTCATTCCCCATTCCTTACCCATCCAACTTTGTGTCCCCCCCCAAAAAAAATTGAGACCAATTTGTGGTGCTCAAATATTCTTGTATGTGTGCCTTTCAGTGGAGCATGGTCAATTTACCAGGGGCTTCACACTTAGAGAAAACTGTCTCTTCCTCTCCTGACAGCTATCAATTGCCAATAGCCACTTGTTTAGGGCTGGGATCATATGTGTAATTCCCATCTCCATGGTGGCATTTCGTCTTGCTTTGGGTCTTATGCATGCTGTCATAACTATCACAATTTGCATATTGACCATACTGTGTCCAGAAGACACTGCTTCCTTGTAGTCATCCACAGCCTCCAGCTGTTAATATTTTTCTGCTCCTACTCCCACAATGCTCCCTGAGCCTTGGGGGTGGGGTGGCTGTAATACATATATATGTTCCATTTAGGTTGGATCATTCCACAGTCTTTCATTCTCTGTACCTTGTCTAGCATGGATCTCGGTGTTAATCATTATCTACTGCACCTGAAGGAGGAAGCTGCTCTTCATGTTTTCTGTACACACGGTCAACATCTGTCCTTATTCCAGGGAAGGCCTTGTCATTCCCATGAGTCTGAGGCACTGTGGTCTTTGACAAGGCCATGCTCATGTTATTAATACACCTTCAGTCCAGACTTCATCTGCTCTAAATGTACCCCCATTTCTTGTTACTTAGATGTTCAGGGTGTCTCCACTTTTAATCCCAAGGTGGTTTGTTGCAATGTTCAATGTCAGACTGTAAGGATGACAAAAGGAAGAACAAATAGCTACTATGTCTATGTCCAATGCAAAGAACAAGGAAAGTTTTTAACAAGTTAAAGTGATTGGAGCCTTGAAGCTTGGAGATTGGGTGAATGCCAAAACATTGTATTATTACCTCTGTGGAGTCATTAGTGGCCCACTAAATGACATTAGTGCCACTAACATTGTGTGTTTGAGCAGTGTCTAACAAGTAATGTCTTCAGGGGGCATGGCCAGGGACTCCTTTAACACTATGTGCACTACAGTTTTTCAGTGTGGGTGGGTGATGAAAGCTCTTGTATTCTGTGGAGGACTCAAATTCTATGAGGTTTTTTTTTTTGTTGTTGTTGGTTTTTTTTGTTTGTTTTTTTGTATTTCACATGGATATATTCCATAGCAGGGTGGCTCTCCAGGTTTTCTTAAGAGGAATTCCCTAAGGGAAAACACATTTGAGTAAACACATTTGAGAAAGTCATAAAGTCATAGCCCATTCTGAATAGTTGAATGGAGCCCACCGGGACTTCAGGTAGTTAGCGGAGTGCCCTCCAAAATTGAGGGAGTCACTAATATAAACAGATACAGAAGGATGTGATGAAGCTGTGGATGGATACATAGATCCAGTGGGCTTCTCCTTGGACTGGTCTTATCTGCATGGGCATAGTCATTAGATATATCAGAAATATAACTGCTGGCTTATTTCCCAACACCAGCCCTCATGCTCATTCCTCTGACATTTGGTTTTGAATCTGTGGATCAGGACACCAAAACACAGAAGAGCAGTTAAAACCATCAGTATCTTCCTCTGAAATCTCTTACCCTAAACAAAGTTCACCTCCCCTTAAAGCTTACTGTAACCCAGACCCCAGGTGCAATTCCACCACAGGTTGGGAGACTGAGGCCTCATAGTTCCTTTCTCAGTATGAGTATCTGGACATGTCTCCTGAACACAGTGTAAACAGGGATGCAGTTGTAATGCTTTTACCTTATTTCTGTGGTTCCTCAAAACTCCCTCAAAGCACAAACATATAACTGTCTCTCTCTCTAGCCTGCTCACCACATGGCTTACACCGGATTTACAGAAATGCTCTCCCCTACCTTTCTTTGCACTCTTGCACTTGCCATTGTAGTTTTCCCTTGCTTGATGGATGTGAGTTTCCTTCAGTCAAGGATCCACATTGGATACCACTTGTGTTGGCCTGCGGGGCTTTAGTATTGACCTGACTAGGGTGACTGGGAATTAGGAAATGACAGTCAGAAAAGTTATGATCAGATGGGTCATGTGCTCTGATGGAGATGCACCAGAAGCAGCCAGGAAACTCAGAGCTTATTGTATACAGATGAAGAAGGCAGAGGCGGGCTAATCTTGATAGGGCATCTCTGGAGGGAGGCAGTGACATCTGCAGTCCACCAGGCGGAGGAAGCTGGGGCTGATATTTTCTGCACATGTTGTCAACATTTATGCTGCAACCGGGGGAAGGCCTTGCCATTCCTCTGAGCCTGGCCCAGGGAAAGCCTTGCCACTTCCGTGTGTCTGACGCACTGGGGTCCTTGACATGGCCATGCTCATGTCAATTACACAGATTCACCCAGGACTTCATACACTCCCCATCTTTTCTGGTTCACTTGAATACTCCAGAGTTAATCATTTCCAGTTTATACAATGTTTCGGATGCTATTTTTTGTGATTATAGTTTTATTCTCAAATGCAGAATGATTAATGAATATTCTGCATTGTGTATAGTAACCTCTTGGGAGAAGCTGGAAATGATCAGTTCTTGTGAAAATATTCATACTTTTGTTGTAAATTTCAATTAAAAATTAAAGGAAGTAAGAGAATCTAGACCTTTAGAATATTTGCTCAACCAAGAAAGGAAACTTATTCAGGGAGAATATCTTTTTCTACTCCTTAAGAATTATCTGTTTTTTGCTGTCCCTTATCTGACATTGGTTTTCTTGACTTTGTATATTTCAGGATTGGATCATAGCACCAGAAGGGTATGCTGCATTTTATTGTGATGGAGAATGTTCTTTCCCACTTAATGCTCACATGAATGCCACCAACCATGCTATAGTCCAGACTCTGGTAGGTTCTATGTTTATGGGGTAGAAATGGGTTATAATACAAACACAGTATAGAGTTGCTTTAAAGAAAATTTAGTTGTCAACCTCAAATTCTTAAATTCCTTTGTAACTTGTAGCCAGAGGTAAAAATTGTGGCCATAATAAGAAATTCAGATTGGTTTAAATCAATAACCCTTGTCTCAGAACTGGGACAAACTCAGCTGGAAAAACTAAAGTAATTAAATGAAGTTGCTACTCTGCATAGATTTCATCACTATACAGCAATTAACCAGATGAGTTTTAAACCAGCAATTCACTAATCATCTTTGCTGAAACATTGAATAACAGCTGCACTGAACCATATCTGAGAGCTTTTGACATAATTATTTCAAGCAAGTTCTTAATATGCATTGGTATTAAGTCATTGAATATAGTGTATAAATAGTAAAATAATTTATATTGAGTCTTCCTTCTCCTCAGTCGCTCTTTTTATTCTGTCATTTAAAAGAGAATCTTATCTTACATTTTGCTTCTTCCATACTTCCAGATATGTAACAATGATTCAATTTCTAGCAGCTTCGGCATATTCCTGTGCTTACGATAGTGAAATGTTGACTCATGGATCTGTGATTGTACTCCATGTAATGAACACAACCCAACCTCTCTTGAAATACTGATGTGTCAGAGGGTAGTCTCTGGAAGACAGCAGTCTTGTAGGAGGTACACTAGATTATGCCATAGAATTGCTATGGGTTAATATGAAAACCATGATTATGTATCTAGGAGTAAAAGTAGAGAATACAGTTGTGGAACCACAGAGCATTGATAGAAGTGGACTTGTTTTGCTGATAGCAGAATGACCGTATCATGTGAGGGAGGCTTATTTAGCAACCTCTGCTCCAAACTCTTAGATTTTGTATTTGACCTCCTAAGTTTACCTTTGCCCTTAATCCATTTAAACTTAAAAGCTGATGGTACTTAAAAGAGTAGCTAGTTTCTAAATAAGGGGAGATAAATATAATATGATTATAATGTAAAATATAAATACAAACAGACATAACAAGTATGTAGATGCTTGCCTGGTATCACTTTTGATTTAAAAGATACTGTAGACTCTCCTGGATTGTCGGAAGTGTTTGCCAATGGTGGGTAAGCATGGGTTTCATAAATTTTTTTTTCGAAATAAAATCAGGGAGAGGATAAGAAAGAAAGCAAATACAAGTTTTAATAGGAGGCCACATATAAAATGTTCTTTTCAGTTGGGTGGTTGTGGCACATGCTTTTAATTCCAACACTTAGGAGGCAGAGGCAGGTGGATCCCTGAGTTCTACAGTGAGTTCCAGGATAGCTAGGGCTACATGGAGAGACCCTGTCTTGAAAAATACAAATGTTCTTTTTATGAGATAGCCTGCTTTAATGATAGTATGTGAGGCATAAAGTAAATCTCCAGGGAGATTAAAGTCAGCTATGCCTCACCTCGTAAATACTTCTGAATATGTGTTAGTATTCTCGAGCAATGGGGAGCAGATAGGCTCTGCAAGGATACTTGCCTCAGACTTCTATTGGTAGATTGAGAAGTATACTGATTATTCCTCTTTTGAAGGAACAGTCATGATCCCTATGTATGTAGTGACAGAGAGGAACATCTACTGTTAGCTTATGTGCTGAATAGTTTCATGTCACCTTGACACAAGCTAGAGTCATTTTGGAAGAGGGAACCTCAATGAGAAAATATGCCCTGCCACCCCCCCCCACACCAGACTGGCCTGTGGCCAAGCATGGAGTACATTTTCTTGGCTAATGATTGATATAGGAGGTCTTAGGTCGTTGTGTATGGGTCTCCTCTGGGCTGGTGGTCCTGGGTGCTACTAAATATCAGGCTGAGCAAGCCATGAGTAAGACAATAAGCACCATTTCTTCATGGCCTCTGCATCAGCTCTTGCCTCCAGATTCCTGCTCTAACTTCCTTGGATGATGGACTACAAATTGTAAGATTTAATAAACCTGTTTCTCTTTAAGTTTGTCTGGTGTTTTTGCTCATGTTCAGGGATCCTCTATTATTTCAGCCAGAATACCATGAAGCCAAGACTCTAAGAGGCCATGTTTGCTTTTTTTTGTGGGTCCCTTAAGGCTCATCAGTGGGACTTCCCATAAACTCCTTTGGGGGAAGGGCCAGAGTAGGTGGGAACCATAATCTGGCTCTTAGCTCAACTATTATAACTTACAGGCAATCTGCCAGTCTGATCAAAATGAGTACCAAGCTTTTATTTAAGCACTTCACTTTTCCATACAGTCTTTTAAGTCTTTTAAGGGAATGGATATTCAATTTGCAAACTATCTGGGCCCCTTGCTTCAGCTTCAGCTTGCTTTTTGGCTGTTTTCTAAGGGTTGTATAGGGAAAGGAAAATAATGTGAAACTCCAGTCAGTCTGGTAAAAAAAAAAATTCTATGCAGAAGAGTTGAAATCGTTGCTCTAAAAGAAGTACTAGATTAAAAAAAAACTTTTATTCTTCTCTCACACATTATTACATCCTGACCACAGTTTCCCCTCTCTCCACTCCTGCCAGTCCCTTCCCCCACCTCCCATCTCCACACCAGATAAACTCCTCTTCTGTTTCCCTTTAAAAACAAGGCCTCCCAGGGAAATCCACCAAACATGGCCTAAGAAGATATAATAAAACTGGGCACAAACCTTCATATCATGGCTGGACATGTCAATCCAGTAGGAGAAAAAGGGTCTGGAGTGAAGGCAAAACAAGCCTAGATTTTATTTCATTGTTGTTTTTAGCTTATCTTTACCATGTAGGAGTAAGAGTTGGCACAATGTTTGTGATGCATTGTTTAGCTATCCTGTTACAATATCCTGCAGACTTAAGACTTTCTGTAGTCCAAGTGTGTCTGCACTGACTTAAGCACAGTTATTTTTGTAGAGGATACAGAAGATACCTGGCTTAAAGATACCTAGTTAAAGCAGGGCAGTGCTAAGTGTCATGTTCTCCCCTCCCCAGAAAAATTCCACTGAATATTCCATATAGAACTTATCTTATCTTATGGGCCGCATTTCAAGCCCCCAATACTCATTTAGAACTGTTTGATTCTTAGTGATTATCTATTGAGAATATATCCTGTTGGCCAGCCCCACCTCCAGTCATCTATTGTATATAAAGGATCAGATGGTAAATTTGTGTGTCAGGGAGTCATGACATAAACATCGTATTCTTAAAGCTGTTAATTAAGTGTTTACCCCATCTCTCCAAAAGCCACGTTTTCCTCTGTATTTCCCTTCTTTGCCAGGTACACCTGATGTTTCCTGACCATGTTCCCAAGCCTTGTTGTGCTCCAACCAAATTGAATGCCATCTCCGTTCTGTACTTTGATGACAGCTCCAACGTCATTTTGAAGAAATACCGAAATATGGTAGTGCGTTCCTGTGGCTGCCACTAGCGCTAAGGAATTGTGGTAATAACAAAACCTATCTGTATCATGTTTATGACTGCAATAAAAGCAGATAAATGGGGACTTTCTTAAAATCAGCCCTGGGTCATTTAATCTCTCTATGTGTAATATTATGTATATACACATTTTATTTATTTAAGAATATGTATTCTCTTTTGGATGCCTTATCAGTAAAATCTATTTTAAAGGTTCCTATATTATATAATGGATTCCTACTCTAACTTTTGATGGGGTGTGCTGAGTCCAGTTTAATTCTATGTCAACATTTTCCCCAATACTATTAAAAATAATTTCTGATATTAAGTAGAATTACTTTGACAGTTTAAAGTTTTTGAAGGGAAATGAATATATTTGGTTATATGGCACCAATGAAAACTAAAATAGAATATTCAGAAATAGTTTTAAAAACTAGCAACCTAAATTTAAAAGAAAAAACATTGCTTGGCTAAATGAAAATTTTCTTTTAGCACTTATGCTTCACTGTGTAAAGTAAAATGTTGAATTGGCTTTGAATAAATAAACAGTAGGCAGGGCACAGGAGCTGAAGGGCCACAGGATTGTTTTAGCTGTTCTCTTTAATGTAATTGGTGTAACCCTAGGAGCATGCTGCTTCTGGCTTCTGGCTTGCAGTTTTGTGTTATTTTTTGCAAGGTCAAAGCTTCAGAAATTCTCTTGGCACAGACTTGAGTCTATGTCCACAAGTTTCCAAATGGACACTCAAAAGCATGGTGCAACCTTACCTCAAATGAGTCATACCTGACCATTGTCTTGATCACTGATGCTGCAGTGTTTTATTCCCCTTGTTTAAAACTTAGTCCAGCATCAAGAAATATTTGCATGCACTCCATTTTCCTCCCTAGAGACAAGAGTTACTTCACGCATAAAATGCATTGGAACTGAAGATGCCAGCAGCATCGTTCTCATTTACTTGCCTTTAGAGTAGACTTTGCCAGTTGATGTGATGCAAGGGATTTTATTTAGGGTGAAGCCATTGAAATTAAACTGAAGGGGAAAAAAAAGTCTCAGAATGGCTTAGATGGAGTTGCCATTTTCAAACAGCTGAGAGCTATTCTTCGTGCTTTTTCGAATAAGCTCAGTGCAAACCTGATTTTACAAAAGGATTTTGAAAACCTTCCTCCAACCATGAATGAGTACAATAGGGAAGTTTCTGGAGCAGAGTAAAAGTGTGTGTGTATGTGTGCGCACATGCTCTTCTCTCTGATGTTAATTTATTTTATCTCTGTTGAAATGGTTACTGGTCTCTAAGGTCCTTTTTCAACACACACTGACTTTTTGAGGAGTGGGGTCTTTAGGTTGATCACTTTCTGCTGCTGTTAGCTGCATGCTGAGGCTTGCAACAGTCAACTGGAAATATTCATAAGGCACGTTTCTTAATCACCATCTGTAACTTTCAAGCACAAGTCTATCATTAGGAATTTTCAAATGTGGTGGCTTGTTTGTAATTCAGATATTTTACAATGTTGTTTTAAAACACAGTTTACAATATAGAAAATATGGTATTGGCTATATTGGGGAATACATTAAGTAATATATTTTTAGTTAATAACTTAATAGTATACCATTGAATATAAGACTAGAGATTAAGAAATAGAAATCTATTATATTATTCTTTAAATGTGCTACTTGAATGTATGTTTACAGTTAAAATATATTAAACTTGTGATGCCAGCCTCTGTTTTTTTTTGTTTGTGAGTGTGTGAGTGTGTGTGCATGCATTCATGTGTATGTGTGCGTATGGGTGTGAATGTACGTGTGTGTGTGTGTGTGTGTGTGTGTGTGTGTGTGTGTGTGTCATAGTTCTTTATTTAAAAAATATAAAATGTAAGTAATCCTATACTAAAGTACCAGATGTAGAATGCTGTTTTCATTATGTAGGTCTTTACTTGCTTTCAAATGATGACCCTTTTGTACCTTTCATAGCTAACTGACTATTGAGTGGACAAAGCACCAGCATATGAATTATAGCTTTAAAAAAATCTGTCCAAACAAAGAAATGTTAAAAATAGCAAAGATCATTAGAGTGGAAAATATCTTAACTTGTCCTTGTTCATTTTGAACAAGAAATAAGAAGGAAAATAGATGGGACTGCAGAGTTACCCAGTGTTAATGTGGAAGCTTGAGGACCGGAATTCAATCCCCAGAACCAAGCAGATGCTATAGTGTACACTTGTAATCTTAGTGTGGGGAAAAAAATGGAACCAGCCAGTCAACCCAGCGGGTGAGACTCAGATCCCAGTGAAAGACCCAGTCTCTAAAAATAGTTGACCTCATGCATGCACACATACATATGAAAACACAGGAGCATATACATGCATGTATACATAGAAATACTCCATTTGTCACTGAGTTTGCATCTTCCAAAAATTATATGTATGCATACTCATGATGGTCTCAAATAATTGTCATAAATTCTTAGTGTTATTTAGTAATATTCTGTCTATTACCAGAAACAAAAAATGGTTTTAATAGATTTAAGCCGTTATAAGTAGTTAGTGTCTGGCATTTTTGTTTGTGTGCTCCAGAACTTTTTCTGCTTTACTTATGTTTTGTTTCATGAAAGTACTATGTCCAGTTTGGATGTAAGAGGACATAAATCATAAATACTCAAGTTTTTAAGAAACTAAGGGTAAAAGTTTTTTACATAGAACTAAAGAAAACAGACTGAAAAACCAAAATTATTTTTCAACTGAAGAACCATCACTTCATATTCCCTGTATCATCATCATGGAAGCTGAGCCAGAGCCTCCTGGAAAATCTACAGTCTGGCAACTGTGATCTCTCAAGACATTTACAATGAATAATTAGCTTACACTGCAGTTCTGCTCAGGGCAGAAGAAATCCTCATCCCCAAACACAGGCAACCACCTCATAACCGCTCAGTGTAGTGCTCAATCTATCATTCAAAGTCCGCTTTGACTCATGTGTTTTCTTGTTCACCCTGTTTGAGGGGGAGGAAAACTGGAAGATTTAAAAGTGAAGATGCATCCACTGATAAAGTATACACATCACTAAATATACATCTGTGTTTTATCAAGTTGGGGAAGATGAAAACTGAGGAGAAAGTATGAAGAATTATAAGCAATGCCCATGTTTTCTCATATTTAGGTATAAAACAAGGCCACACTACACTCAGGTGGTTGTGACAGAAGGAGCGAAGGGGCTCAGATCAGGTCACTAAAATACTCATTAATGGCATCTGAAAGTCAATGATCTCAGACAGGAAAATAAGAGGATCAATAGCCTTTATAAATCACAAAAGTCCTGAATATAAATCAAGTTTCTCCCCTTACTTTCCATTTTACCGTAAAGTCAATGTTTGTACACAGTAGGGAGGGAGATGCACTATATCTTCAGTTCTGGAAATCATATAATCATTTATAAGAGAGAGAGAGAGAGAGAGAGAGAGAGAGAGAGAGAGAGAGAGAGAATACTATTTTGAGTGCCTCAAGACTTTGTCAGTGCAGAAACAAAAGCTAACCTAATGATTTAGCAGTTTGAATAATATTTTGTCATTTCAACACAATGTGGCTACTAATGAATAGTGAAATACGGTAACAGAGAATTCAAATTGTAGACTGTATTTATTTTCCTCCAAAAAATTCCAGAGTAAAAGAGCAATTTTAAAAACTTGAGCTAAAAGACTGATAAGGTACCTTAAATTACACAGTAATTATTATCCTTTCGTCAATAAAACACATACCCAGGTCCATACATGCATATAAATTTACACCAAACATGCTCATTACGTATACATTATTTAAAATGACTTTTTAAAAAATTACTACATTTTGATTATTTTCCAAGTCCTTCTAGATCCCCCCGACCAAGCCAACTTTAATTTCCTTCTCAAAAAATCAAACAAAAACCAAAGACCCAAAAGAGCAATAACCTCTCCAAACCAATAAAATAAAACAACACCCCAAACCAAACCAAAAACCCACCAAACTGTAATAAAATAAAAGCAAACACACACATGCAAAAACAAAACAAAACAAAAACTGTAGAGTCCATTGCTTGTTGGTCAACTTCTAACATGATACCTGTGCTGGGGTGATGATAAAACAGTGCCACTCCACTGGAGAAAACTTTTTCCTCTCAGCAGGTAAAAATGACAGTTCAGTTGTTAACCTTTACCCTAGTGGCTAGGCGTTCATTCACTCATTAGTTCATCCACTCATTCATTCAAAATACAACAAAATGAAATATAAGGTAGAACAAAAATTATCACATCAAAGTTGGATAGGACAAACCAACAGAAGGAAAAGAGCCCAAGAGAAGGCACAGGAATCAGCGACCCTTTCATTCCTATACTCAGGACTCCCAGAAAAACACTAAACTGAGAGCCATAATATGTATGCAGAGGACCTGATGCAGACCTGTGCATGCTGCTTCAGTTTCTGTGAGCACATCTGAGCTTTGTTCATGTTGATTTAGAGGACCTTGTTTTCTTGATGTCTTCCATCCCCACTGGCTTTTACACTATTTCCACATCCTCTTCCTTGGGGTTCCCTGAGGCCTGAGGGGAGAGATTTGACAGAGACATCCCATTTAGGGCTGAATGTTCCAAAGTCTCTCACTCTCTGAACTATGTCTGGCTGTGGGTCTCTGTTTTTGTATCTGTTCCCATCTGCTGCAGGAGGAAGCTTGTCTGATGATGGCTGAACAGGCAGTGATCTATAAAACACACTCTTAAATGCATTGTAAGATTGTAAACAAATGAAAGGAACTGTTCAAAGCAAGAAATAAATCCAGGGAGGCCAGAGTAAAGTTCAGGGGAGTGAGTGGAGTCTTCAGTGTCGTCTAGAGCTTTGGTTTCAGCCACCAAACCTTAGGAACAGGAACAAGTCCTATGCAGTGAAAGAGACCAGATCGGGGCTATCACATAAATCATGAAACCAAGCAGAACCAGATAGCAAGGAAATTTGTCTTGGCTCTGCATGGTGAGAAGAACACAGAATTCTGGGTTATTTGTGTGAACGTTTGACCAGAAATCACACTTGTGTGTTCAGATTTTAAAGATCCCCTGGTGATTCTGAAAAGGCACTGGGGAAAGAACATGAAAATCCTGTCTGGGGACTGCCATGCCGTCTCAGGCCTTGAGGAACACCTGCTGAAAACAGCCAAAACAGTGTGCAGGAAGTAGTGTAAAAGTTCAAAGAAAGAACAAAGGTAGCACAACTCACAGAACTTATCCAGTGTATTGAGTAATATAATCGACAATATAATAGGTAGATGTTACGTGCTTTTTGAGATCAAAATTAAGTATGAAAATATTTTAAACGGACTGATAGATCCAAAAAGGGGAAAAATGAAACTTTATTAGATGCACTGGTTAGTGAGTTAGATAAACTAGAAGCTAGACGTGCAGGCATTTTCCCCAAGGCAACAGTGCGGTGGATGAAGAGAAGGCAGTTCACGATGGAACTCAAAGTTCATATGTATCAAAGGAAGTCCTGCCATGTATCTATTCCAGAGAACTGAAGGTGAGTTCTGGGCTAATGACAGACCCATCAATCAAAGTGTGATACAAAAATCGAAATCAGTCAACACATAATTCCTTTCTTTGAATTTTTGCTAAGGAAAAATGTCATTTAGAATTATGAATTTAGTCAAAATTATCTGTCAAATCTTTGGACAATTTCAATGCAAATAAAGCAGAAAACTAAAAGAAAATATGGTCTACAGAGCGAGTTCTAGGACAGACTCCAAAGTAATACAGAGAAACCCTGTCTTGAAAAAACAAAAAACCAAAAACTAAAAAATGAATAAAAATAAAAATAAAAAACAATAAATCCATTGCTAAACGATGTACCTCAAAAATAAAGAACAATTGTATTATGTTCAAAATAGAGTTGAGATAAAATTAATGGCAGTGTTGTCATAGAATAAATATGCTGAGAGACAGGTAATGTAAATGGATTTTTGTTTTTGTTTGCTTGCTACAGAGTGAGACTGTCAAGAGGGTGGATAATAAGTTTTGCTTTATTTGATTATGACTAAATGAACATCTCCAGTTTTGTCCTCAGAATTCACTGTAAAGTTTTCAGATAAAACCAGACCAGGAAAACAATACATACCATCTAAACCATAATAGAACTTTTTTCTTCCATAAACATGTTTGTTAACAACCTTTTAGGTTTGGTGTTTCTTAGGTAAGTATTCAAACTTGCTTTTATATTTTCAAAGTACTTAAAGAAATTACTTAAAGAATTGGGTGTAGCCATGGCATAGCACTTCATTTGCAGAAACAAGGAATGAGCAAAGTTGGCCTTGAGCTAAAAGTATTCTGATACCTATTTTATACCAGCATGGGAGATACTTGTAATGTGATAAAATGCAATCAGTTCACACAAATGCAATAGGAAAGGAAGGCAAAGAAATGTGTGTAAAGGACCAAATAACACAGAAACAGGATGGAAAGGGATCCATACAGTCATATAACATTTAATGCTTTAAAGTCATATAACATTAATGAAGTGATCATTGCTGCCCTGCTTCATTTTAAATAATTGTTTCAACAAGCATTCACATGACATGCCTAAAATTTAAAATTACAGGAAAGATGAGGATAAAACAAAGGAACATACAAATGCTAGAATGGTATCTACTAAAGGGAAATGGGCTAATTACAGAAATAAAATATATTACAAGTTTAAAAAT